TAACTGACTGGTATCCAAATATGACGCGCGATTCGGAGCAATCCATTGATCCAGGTAGAAGTTGGTCACTAACATTCAATAATTCATTAGATCATTCAACAATTAATAAGTCATTATTCAAATTTGAGCCAGAAGTCAACAGTTTAGGTATGTATAGGCAAAAGTTTTTTCAAGAACAAATATTCATTTGTCTTTATGTTGGCGATAAAACTATGCCTGTAAATAAATGCGTTAGAATAAATTTAGATAAGTAATACAGATGAAAGAGAGTATGCTCCCGGAGCGTAGTCACTGACACGTAGTCCATTAACAGACTGTTACTAACGTCTGGAAGCATGCCTTTTGCTAGTGCAGCAAAAGTAGTAGCATCAAAGGAAAAGGTATTGTTTTAGGTATTGAACATACGAAAGACAATGATCAACAAATAATAATACATAACAATTCTGAACCAAATACTGTTTATACACTGTTTATACAATCAGAAACATTGAAAGATATTTATGGTCAAATATTACGACATAATAATTCAGATAATTTAATTCAATTTCGCGTACATGATTCAGCAGTAATTGGAGATATATCGGGTGCAACAGGTATAACAAAAACTTATACTAAAACAGAATTTGAAAAAAAGAAAATTTGAAAAATGTGAATTTTGTATATAATAAAAAACAAAATATTTTTACATGACAGAAAAATATTCATTGTAATAAAAGAAAACTTTATTTTAGGTGTGATTATAATGGATCCAGGTGTATTAGATGATCCATTTTATCAATTTATGGTTTATAATTATTCAGAATTGACACTTCGCATAAATCAAGTGAAACCAGAACATTATCAACCAGATTTACCATGTTTGAGGTCATATTATTACATTTATGAAGATCAAGAATGGTATAATAAACTACCTGGAGAAGAATTTGTAAATGAAGTTATTCTAACAAACTGTACACCCAATGAGCCCAAAGAGATAAAAATTCCGTTGAAACCATATTTGAATAAAAAATCCAACACCGGTCAATTAATTGTATTAATTGAACCGACGCAAAAATCATGGAATGAATGCCAAAGTGGAGATTGGCAATATAGAACAGTTCTATCAGCCTGGTTGCAATGCACACGATTAGCAGTCGGCATGTTTTTTTCTCCAGGTAGTTATATTTTAAAAGTAAAGCAGATAACATGGTATGAAATGTTCGTCCCCATATGCAGCTGTTCAGCGGGTGCATCAATTTCAGGTATAGAAAATTCATGGTACGATAAGGTGCTCCAAATTCAAAATTATAGCACTATTTTATTTTTGGCTTAATCATACATCATTCGATAGGGAATTTAACGCTGATCAAGAGTATCTGGTCTTTAGCCTTCCCAGTTCACATTATCAGTGAAAACAATTCAAAAAACTTGAACGATCTTTTTTTCGAAAAATCATTAACTTTTTTTAAAAACTGAATAACTTGGTTCCGCCCTATTTTGAAGCCGTGAAACTATGTTTTTCTTATTCAGCTCTGAAAACTGCATCTAGAAAACTGTATTTGAAGGTTCAACACCAAAAAATATTTGCTCGGCGCGAAACGGGACCGATAAATCTTCAGTTTCGAGACCCTCATCTTGCAAACCTATCGCAGCTC